GGGAGTCCCCCCCATGGGCCTGGTGCAGCCCCCTGATCCATCCAGTTCACCGGTTAACCTTAACCAATAATGGGTGAGGTTTACTGATTAACTGGTTAACCTTCATGTTCCTAATTATATTGTATGTGTTGTAATGTTACAGCAGTATGATGAAATAATTAACTGAAGCTAAAATTTTCACAAATGACCAAATGTTGGGTGTCCAGCTTGAAACTGAATGCTTGAATTTCAGAAAAGCTTAGCATCTATCTTCAACTCTTATTGAAATAATGGGTGAGGTTTACTGATTAACTGGTTAACCTTCATGTTCCTAATTATATTGTATGTGTTGTAATGTTACAGCAGTATGATGAAATAATTAACTGAAGCTAAAATTTTCACAAATGACCAAATGTTGGGTGTCCAGCTTGAAACTGAATGCTTGAATTTCAGAAAAGCTTAGCATCTATCTTCAACTCTTATTGAATTCAGGAAGAGTTGCATGGGCTTAACACCTTTTGGAAAATAATGTCCCAGATGTCTCAAGTGGGGCAGTCAAAGTTGGTTGGGACTTTGCTAGTTACAGGTGTGATGTTTTTCACAGAACAGTGGGTTGGAGAGTGTTAGAGAGAATGAGAGGGAATTGGGGGAAACACTTTTTAAAATGGGGCAAATCCAAACAAATTGACAAGCGTAGTATTTGAAACAACTTTAATTCAAAACTGACACTGTTTCAGGTAGGGATGTAAAATCCTGTTTAATTTAACTGGTTAAACATAATGGTTAATCGGTTAACCGATTAATGGGGGAACAGGAGAAAGGGCTGCTTCAACCTGGCTGGGTTGGAGCACCCATCTCCCCAGCTGCAGCTGGGCTGAGCTGGGCTGCTCTGGCTAGCAGTAGTGCCACTTCCTGCCGCGCACCCAGGCCAGGCCCACCGCAGGCAAGGGCTGCTCTAGCTGGCTGGATCAGAGTGCCACTGCTCACAACAGGCCCCATGGGGCCCCCTGCATGCGGCAAGCTCTTTGGGGCTGAAGCAGCCCCTGCCAGTTAACCAAAACTTACAGTTAACCATTCACATTCTTAGCTTCAGACTGAACATTCCTTTAAACTTCCTTATCCCAATAGGCACACTGCTTGCTCATTGACTTCACGTGAGAATTGGGAAAGCAGGGCTATTGTAGATATGTCACTAGCATTTAGATGTTTTTGTGAAAAGAGCTAATTCAATCATACTCTTCTTCCAAATGTAAAAAAGGACTACAGCATATTAACTATATTTTATTAATGAAGTAAGTGTTTGATGAGAATTGATTCAGAAGTCAATTTTTAGTTATATGGTTACCAGAGTGTTAAGTAAGCAGTAGGGCATATCCTTCTGAGAGTGGTTTTTGAACTTGTCGCAACTTAATTTGTAGTTGCTACACTGTATTTTGTCCCAGCAAGTCTATTTTTTCAGTAGTTCCTATGTATACTTCCCCTTTCCAAATATTCAGGTAATATTTAGGCTTGTTCTGGAATGCAGTGGTGTTTAAACCATTTATGAAAACTCCAGAACTGTGATTGTGTGAGAGAAGAAATGCAAGATTAGGGATGTTAATGTAATCGACTAACCATGTAACTGTTAAGCTTATGCTTATTGGTTAATGGGACTGTGATTGCGTGATAGAAGAAATGCAAGATTAGGGATGTTAGTGTAATCGACTAACCATGTAACTGTTAAGCTTATGCTTATTGGTTAATGGTGTCAGGTACACTCAGCAAATCCCTGGAGAGGTGGCTTCGCTGCAGCAGGGCAACAAAGCCTTCTACACTCAGCAAATCCTTGGAGAGGTGGCTTCGCTGCAGCAGGGCAACAAAGCCTTCTCCCGGAGGAGGCTTTGCTACAAGAGTTCATTGGGCAGCCTCTCCCTCCAGGTCTCGCTCTTTAAGCTTTATATTGCAAAGCCTGCAGCATGAAATTGTTAATGTGTGTACAGTTACCTGTTTAATTGACTTTAACATCCCTATGCAAGATATGCTGGGATAACTGTATTTGTAACAGTAATACTTTAAAAAAAAAATTTTGTTCTCGGATTACTAATCAAGGTCCTGAATCTGCAGTGGGCTCTGCATAGATTCCGAGGGGCCACCTGTATAGGTTCATTTGTATGATCACAGTTCAGTAACTATTTGTCAACTTATAAATGGTACCCTTTATCTATTCATAAAATTGTCTTGTAATTTGTACTCTGAATGTAGTATTGTAAAAGAAAAATCTACTTCTTGGTTGCATACCAGAGATACTAATGTTCTTCTAGTACAGAAACCCCAGTCAGTTACTGAAAGGCCTGTAAATAGTTGATTAAATGCTGTGACATACATAAGCTACTAAAGTAAAGGAAGAAAACTATTCCATATTGTCCGCGCTTTTTCTAAATTAAGTTTGGATAGAAGTGCTACTGATAGAACTTACTCTTACTGAAATAGAGTGACAGGTATGTAGTCTTGATCAACTTTACTCTTTGTTGCCCAGAGCAATTCTTCCTTCATAGGAGAACTGAATTGCCCTTCCTTTTCACTTGACTGTAAACTAGGACCATTAAATGTTTTGAACTAGTAGGGTATACTTAATGTTTGAACTGTTTTAACTTTTGTAACTTCCCCTGTACTAACACTGGTTCAGGTTAGGGATGTAAGAGTATAGCCTTGTAAATGGGTTACCCAAGTGGTTACATGTGGCTCGCAGTCCATCTCTGGGAGATCTCTGTGCCAGAGGCGGCAGGCAGGAGCCTGTATGAGCGAGGAGCCCACTTAAAACCTTGGTCCTGGCATGCACCCATTCCTGGGGAGCTGACTGCTGCCCTGTGCTGCTGCCTCTGTATCAGCACAGGGCAGCAGACAGTGTGCAAGCTGGCTGCCACTCTGTGTCTAATGCTGAGATTTTGAGCATTTACACAGGTATCTATTCACACATATTTTAACATACCTAGTTCAGGTTAGTGCTTTATTAGACTTGAATTTAAATGAACACAAATATTTGCCACAAATAAAGCAAAATCATATAACTTATGCAGAAGCGACATAAGTGACAATCATGTGTTTTACTATAATTCTGAACATTGCTAATACAGACTTTATGCTAAAAGACATAAACAGATATTTCTGGATATTCAACTCTATTAAAAGATGTGTTAACACTTTTTTTTACTTACCATTTTACATGGTATAAAAACAAGTGTTTTATGGCTTGGAATTATTTATCTTCTGTATTCTTGATAGTCTTGTTCAAAATTTCTTTATTTAAAAAATTATGTAAGTCAGGAATAAGAACTGCATTGTGCTTACATGTCTTTGTGCTTCTAGTGGAATGCAGAGTCTGAATGAGGAGAAAAGCTGCTTATGGTTGTGGTTGGTTCTAAGTTTTATTATGGTAACCGTATGTAGTATTTTATTTTGAGAAAGACCCTGATCCACAATCTTTGCTGTACCAAGTCCTGATATCCACATTTTATCACTTTTGAAGGTATAAATACATATCGAGTGGTTGCAAATTATATTCAAATGAGAGTTCAGGTGCAATTATGGCAGTAGTAACCATATAAACATTTTTCTCAGACTGTGTAGTGAAGGTAAAAAAAAATCTGTTTGGTTTAATCGGATACAATGGGAAAGCATGAGCAGATAAGTCAAAGGAGATGGTAACATTCTTGCAAAACCACATGGGACATTTAATCTTAAGACATTTTAAACACCATATTTACAGT